TGAATCGTAGTTGCCTGATCGGTTGGTTTCTGAATCGGCTAATGACCGTATACTTGTCACACTTGTCTCGAAGTTCACAACTTCACTCTCTGCAGCCAAGGTGCCAAGTTCAAAGCCATGCCCTTCAAACCACTGGAGAACTCAACCATTTCTCCGGCCTGAAGTAAAATTGGCTAAGGGCTAATCAAGGCGCTTGGCTTGTCACGTCTCCTTTCTTCCAAGCTGGAAGAGCCCTCAAGTAAAACTGCCAGCAGTTAGAAGCTACTTCGTCTTAAACCGTTTCAACAAAAAACGACTTCGTCAGAGGTCTGATTATCAAATCATTTCAAAGTCAGCATGTGGGTTGGATGGTCACATATGAGCACTCCAGCCTTGACCCCCTTGAGGCCGTAGATACGTGCAATACCATCGCCCACGGAGAGCACTCGACCCACTTCTTGGACGTCCGCCTGGTCCTGCAAATCTCAGGGCTTCTGCGGCTCCTGCATCTACTTGGGGAAAAAACTTGACGTAATAGCGCTTTATGTAACATTATCTGACATATCATCTGCTCATTCGAACGTCTTCCTCAAAGTCATGCGCCAACCATTCATCCAAGAGACGGAATTAAAAAGCAGGACCGTGATCCGCCGGATCCGCTCAAATGCCCTCGGATCCGCCGTGCCTTGAAGTTGGCGATGCGCTCACTGAGGATCTTTGTAAGCTCCGCAGGGCTCACTTTGGCCGCTGACCTGCGAACTCGGATGACCATGATGAACAAAAATGGAATCAAAACGGACGGAGTCTTTGGAATGTCTTTTGGAATGAGGTCTTTCTTCGTTTGGATTCAACGTCCTTAAGATTCCTTAAGGAACTTGGATGGTTTCATGTTTCAACATCTCCCAAGTAAGAGTACTGAATTTCCTCTCTTGCAAAAGCCTGTTCACTAACAAATGCTGCTGAAAATGTTGGACTCCCATAGCATCAGTAAAGCAGTAGCTTCTGCGAAGAGAAACAAATCCGACCTGACTGCTGAGGAATGCAGGTGGCGGGACAGGGTTGGTGTGGCGGCCAGTCGAGGAAGCAGGCGGTGTAGTGCGCGAGCCATTGCTGACCTTGGAATTCGGCAGGGAGGTTCTGTGTCAACCCTTCAGGCAACACACACACAGAAAATCGTGGGGGAGCCAACAAAGCGATTGGCAGGTCAACTTCTGTAATTAACTATGATGCACATGACTGATAGGACTGGATGCTGCGCGCTGCTTGATCTGGTTGAGGTCACCCTTTTTCCAAGCGCAGCGCACTCGATTGCGGAATCGCAACTGTGACATGCCATGGCTCTCATTTGTTCTTGAAGTATGCTTGGTTCCACCATGGCAAGTTAGTGCTCATGAACTCGATGTCTTTGAGATCCTTCTCCAGGTGCTGCAGCAACTTCTCCGTGGGGATGCGCCCGGGGGCAACACCTTTCCCCGCAATGGCGAAGGGCTGTGCGATGCACACTGCTACCTCCAGGAGCGCCTGGTACAGGAATGGCCCAACACTGCACAAGATCATGCCCACGGCCAAGTCCTGAATCGGGTCTTGGTCATGATTGGCCATTCAATTTGCGCTTCTGGTAGGCTTATATGTAGCATTTGATGGCATGTTTTCCCCACTCACAAACACAAAAATGAACACAAACGGACATTTTGTTCCCACAGTTAGCGCCTGAAGTCCATGAGAAAGATCCTCTGATTGCACCTTGCTTTTGAAAAAGCCCACTTCAGCCCGTGCCAAGACCAAGCTTAGGGTGACGCCGGAAGTCAGGCCAATACTGATCGCATTTACAATATTGTTCACCTCGCCACACAAACACCCTCTCAAGTGGATGGTGTTGCAAAACCAAACAAAGTCACCTTTGCCTCATGTCTTAAGAGTGCGGCCAAAGTTACAAGCACCAAAGCTGCCATCATTTGCACATGAACATAAGGAGGCTGGACGCGGATGGATGCTCGAACTGCACGAATTCCAACATAGGCTTGCTCAGCCATGCTGATGATTCGGCCGTAGGTGGGAGTGGGCATAGGTGGAATCTCACCATCTGCCGACATTCTTGTAAGAAGTGAAGTGATCCAAACCCAGAGTGTCTGAGCTGGATCAACAATGTTTTTGAGGACGTCGGTCTCGCCAGGCAGAAGTCGAGCCATGCTCTTTGATTTGTCCTCCCATGCGATGTCCTTGCAGCAGAAATTGTCTCAGAATGTTTGATTCTTAGCACTCTCAGTGAGCGAACCCATTGATGGATCACAACATGTGCATTCCGAGTTTCAGCCTCTTTCTCCACAGTCAAATCTGCCCAGCAGCTTGCAAGGTACTCCGCAGCATCTTCAGGTGTCATAGGCGAGGCCGTGAGATCATGATTCAAGCAATGCGCAGACCTTACCCCAGCAGGTGTGCCCACATCAAATCACAAATGCCTACAAACCAAGACCATAGGCACCAACAAACAGCGGAAGACTTCGTGCAATCCTTTGGTTCTGCAAATATGTTTCGGCAGGTTGATACAAACAAGCGGCACCACACAGTAGCGCAAGCAAAGCTGGACCTTGTCCTCAGCAATTCAGCATCAGCCAAACCAAGGCTATTTTATGCTATTTTGATGTACTCAATTCCTCTCTTGCTCAGATTCTGTTTCCACCTGCACAGCTAAACTGACAAAGGCTAGGTGCCTTAGATACACCCATCGCATTCAACTGCATGTGCAAGCCGCGGATGGCATCAAAGAGTTCCAAGAAACCATTCGTGCAGCTGTACCACCTGCACCGTAAAACTCCGATGAAGAAGCGTAAGATCTCCAATGTCACCAAAAGACTGAACTGCTTCCCTCAAGCAGTTTCATCCTAGTTATACATGTGTATATATATATATAGCGCCCCCGTCGGCATTTCAAGCTTTTCAATTCAAGGCCTTTGCATAGAACTGGACAGGAAGAAACCGAGAAGCAGGCCCACGACAACTTCCAAGAAATTGCTGATGCGCTGGAATCTCGCCACATTGAGCTTGGCAGGATCCTTCACCATCACCTGAAGGCCAAAGCTGCCAAGGGTCTTGGCTGTGGTTGAGTCTTGCTTTCCGTACCCTCATGCTTGAACTTTCAAACCAAGAGACGGCGATACAGGTTGCCACAGTCAAGGCAATCAGGAGAAGCGTCCCCATCATTTTCCACAGGGATGCTTTCGTCCAAACAGTGCCAGCCAGATTGCTGAAGACCTTGAAGGTTACCAAGGTCCGAGCATCATAGCTCATGGAATCTGCCTCAACAGGCGTGTGCATCAGCAAAGTCACATGTGTCATTCATGCATGTATGCTTCAGGAGGCTGTGAAACTTTGCTCTTGGCCCCACCTCTGCAACCTCCTCATTTTCATTTGCTGCCTCGTTTGCAGCTTCTGCTTTTCCTTCTTCCAGTAACGGCATCTTTTCCTCCGATGTGCCCTCCATGAAGGAGGCCATCTCTTCGTTTTTCAGCTGTGAGCTCTGAGCTGGAGCCCTGAGCCAAACGGCCCTCCAAGCCACAAAACATGTTTTAAATACTGGGCAAAACAAACCTGATTGCACATACTCAGCACTCTAACATGTGGGTCAATGCATCGTGAACACAAACACATACATACATGAGTTACAACAGGACTGCAGTGCGAATGAGCCGGATTCAGTCTTGGTTCAACTCAGCGCACATGTGACACATGTGCATGCTGAGTTCACCTGTTCACCTCGAATTTCTAATTCGACAGTTGGGGCTCGAGCACAGGGCAAAAAAAACCACTGGCGCTCTGCACACACAAACACTGCTTGGGCCAAAATGTAACAAACATGAAACTACCATAAACTACATCAGTATCGATTAAGCTGGGAATTGAGTGTGCTCCAGAGATGAAAAGGGCATCGCATTGAACTTTTCCCAACTCTTCAAACCAGCGCCTGCCGTCCTTCCAAACAGGAGGCCTTTCATGATGAGAACAGTTCTCATGGATGAAATCCCAGGATCTGTGGCTGCTCCACACATGCTCACGTGAAATCTTCATGTGCTTCTGAGTGTCTGGCCCACTTGCTTTGGCAAATCCTCACGAAAATCCCAAGCACTGCCCACATAAGAGTGAAAGCTTCTCACTGGTGCTAGGGCCTGGGGTTCTTCCGCTTCTCTGATAACCCCTCTAAAGTCTAATCCGGGTACAAAACCCAACAATCTTGTGCAACCCCTACCACTCCTGCTTCAGAATCCACCTTTAAAATTGAGAACATCAAGAGCCGTCCTCCATTGGGGAGAGGTGGCGGCCTTAAAGAAAGTTGCTTCAGAGCTTCTGAGTGTCTCATTGGCTCTTTCAGATCACATTGTGATCATGGCGCGTCAGCAAGATTCTAATTTCGATCATGAACCATAGACTAATCATAAATGGCAACAGCTGTGACAGTTAACATACAGTAAAACCGGTAAACATGCCGTCTGAGATCCGTACATGAGGCCAGGACCTAATGTAAAAAACATATCAAGCACAAGTGTTGGCACTGTCGATAAAACAGATCCAAGTAGTAGCTTGGCTTCTGTATACCTTGCTCTGTGGCGTGTTGATGACACAGTGTGGTGATAAAATCCTGAGAGGATGGCGTCAGGTGTCATCAGCCAAAGAAACAACATCCACAGCATATTATGCGGAGTAAGGGATTTCTGTGGAACTCTTTCCAACAAACAAGTCCCTTGATGCTTTTACTTAACTTAACTAGCCATATTTTGTTGACAAAAACAAACCCTGAATTATACCCTTGGAGAAGGAGGTGCTTGACAAGAATCATCGGTTGGTTGGCTCGTCGCCAAGAATCATCCCAAGCACACACGCGCACATCCTATCTTTGATGCTGGAATCATTGTCATTGTCATGGCACAAGCGAACAGCTGGATTGCACTATCTGCCAAAGCAGTTCCACGAATTGTAGGCCACAGGGTAGGCCAACACTAGTTTTGATAGAGAATGGTGCAACGTTAGACTGAACAAAAGCCTTGACCCAATACACTGGTGTTACTTCTGCCATGCGGCAATTCTTCGTATCCTCTGTATGGATATTAAAAGTTATCTAAGCAGTACTAAGCAGTGTAATTGTATTCAAGGGAGGTCAAAGAGAAGGTGTGCCAAGTGTAAGAGAAGTCTTGGCGATTGCACTCAGGGGTGGGCTCGCTGCTGGCACTGCTGGGATTGGTGGTCTGTGAAGCACAGCACTTCCAACAACTCATGGCTCTGCACTCTGCACAGCTCAACTCTTCCCCTCGCCTCTGCGTGGCCTTAGCCAAGAAAATGTTGTCCAGTGTTCATTAAATGGCATGTTCGATGCTGTGCTTTCTTTTCTTAGCTTCGGGTGCACTCGCTCCACTGAAAAGGGCGCAGAAATGTTCAAAAGTGCTTCTTCACCTCACGAGCTGAGCTTCTGACTGGCGGTGGTGCTCCTCGACAATTCATTTCTATGATATGGGGGGCAATGAGATGAGTTGCTGAAAACGGTGCGTACTGAAATGTCAGGACCTGTTCGTCAGGCAACTAGTTGCAAATCGCACGCTGCATTGCAATTACTTGTCCCAGCTCACATCACGCGCTCCTCTGCCTGTGCCCTCAGCAAAACAAGAACTGAATTGGCTACACTACACTGGTTACCTACTTTGGCGTAGTGGCTGCCAAATGACTGTGTACTACTGTGCTCGCTGGAGGGCTGAGATTTGACTACCCCTTGCTACAAGAAGGCGGAGCATATCGTGGGAACAGAACTGTTCTTTAGAAGATCTTTAAAAGATCGTGACCTTTCTTTTATTTCACTTTGGAACAGGCTTTTCTACACCTTTTTTAAGACCTTCTTGTTATAGCCAGTAGCTACTACGGGAATAGCTGCCAAGCGGAAGTAGCTACTACCGATCGGACGCAGAAGAGCTCCAGCTTCTTCAAGGAAGCTCCCCACGGAGGGGAGGGTGGGGGGTGGCTTCCTTGAGGAAGCCTGAGCTGCGAAGAACATCTTACGCTGTCATAGACCAACACATTGGAGTAGTGCACAGTGAATAGACCTCTAAGCTCACGGCCCTGCGGCCCAAAGCCTTCGAATTGGCCATGGCCTGGCAAGGACAACCAACAGTTTGGGCATGTAGTGCCAATCTAGTGTCGACATAGCGGCAATCGAATCTAGTCAAAGTTCTGGTGCACTCTTTATGCTGGTTCCACTGCATTGTCGGGACAGATCCGAGCAGTAAGCTCATGCTAATTGAGTAAGAATTGCATCTCCTTCCTGCCATGAACTGAGGCATTCTCCCGCTGCACTGCTTCAGCCCGGAGTTGTTGAGTTTCACTTCCATCTGGCCTGATTGTGACTCAACACCGAATCACTGCACTTAGCAGGGGCGATGGGCGTAGTGGACATTGCAACTTAGGTCTGACCGTGTACCCGATCTCACGGTCCCTTGGGTCGGTGAATCGACCGAGTGGACATGCGTGCCTCCACGCTAGGCCACGCGAATCAGCGAAACTGAGCTCCCGTGCGGTAAGACCGGCTCTAGACTGAGACCCAACAAGAACTGTGCGTGTAGAAGCGCATAGCCTTGGCGGGTGCCTATTTATCGTTTCATCACTCTAGACTCTAGCTGACTCTAGCTCAAAATTGGAAAATTGGAAGGACATGGAAGGACCTAGCATAGTCAGGATACTACACTAGCTGGGAATCATTGGGAATCTGCCTAGACTGGCTGTTTGCGCCAGCCATCAATATCCTGGCATCTCAATGAAAGCACACACAAAGTTGTGAACCTCGAAATGTTGTCATGGGCCTGGTTTGCAAGTCAAACCACAAGACCCTTGCAGCACTTGAGTGACGCACAAAGCTGGGGATGCTCCAAGAGGGTGGCACGTGCACGCTCAGGCCTCAAATGGGAATGAACAAAGGTGGTACATTATTCCAGGAAACACAACAGGATCTCTAATTGGAGCCAACTGATGTTGTTTTTGAAAGAGACTCAAGGTCTCTTGTATACCAACTGGCCTGCAGCAATAGCTTGTGAATAGCAAGAACTAGCCTGGTTTGCTTGTACCGACATCAACATGTAAGGTGCTTCTCCTTTCACCCAAACATGCTACCTACCGCCAGGGTCTAAGTTTGGGACGCTGCTTTCGCAAGCTCCTGAGCACTGCTCAAACGGTTTCCCACACTGCTTGTTGGAAGAGTGTTCTGTTTCCGGTTGGCTTGGTATCAGCTCAACTCCCACGTGCCAGCCGTGTCCTGCATCGTACCAAGACAGAGCTGCAAGTGTGCCTGCAAGGTACGGCCAGAAACGACGACCGTACTGCAAGGGCAGCATCGTGCTGCTGTTGACGATCGTCGGTCACATCTTTTTTGTTCACCAGAACTTACCCCTAGATTCGTTGAGCCAAGTGACTCCAAGTGACCGAAGTTGATTGGGAAGCCTGTTGTTTTGCTGGACCTGACCACCTCATGAGGGTACCACGAGTTTAGCGCCACACCGTAATCCTTCTTGACCTTTCAGCAATGGCCTGTGGCATGGCCGCCACCGTCTGAGCAATCTGGGTATGAGCACTGACCTTAGAGAACGGAGTGCTCAGCATGACCACAACATGCTGCTCGTGAGAACGAGAAGCCTGGCCTCCAATAACAGACTGTTGCGGTGGGCGATGCTTTCGATTAAGGTCGTCACAGAGCCCATGATGACATCTGCGGAGGCGTTCCTTAGGTCATCATCACTGAAGCCGGTCTGGTTTTGCTATGCATTGAACTACGAACACGCTACTAGTGACAATGGGCATCGCTACTAGGGGCAAGGACGCTCCTGGCCGTACTACTAGGAGCAAGGACGCTACTAGGGGCTCCTGGCCTTACTGCTAGGAACAAGAAGCTACTAGTAACAATAAAGCTACCAACGGACCTTGGGAGACCATATTCATTCCATCACTTTCTCGATAGTTTGCTGTGAAATGCCTCTCTGTTCCTGCCATATAAAAAGCCCTCAAAGCTTCGCTTTGGCGACAGTTTGGGTCAGCCGAAACAAATATGTCGATTCTTTCCTGGTGTTCTCCTGCTATGTGTTCAGCTGTTGACGCTGAAAAAAAAAATGTTGAACACAAAGCCCAGTGGCGGATCTGCAGCCGCAGCTGCCGCAGCTGTGGCCGGATCCACCTGCCCTGCGTGGGAGGCAGTATAGCAAGTCACACCCTGACGCTCCAAAGTAATACGCATGCTTCGTGCAAAAGAAAGCGGTTTGGTCTCACATGTGATGAATGGTTTTACGTGGAGGGGGGTGCTGGGCACTCAAACCTAAACTTTTGCAAAAGGAAAGCGCCCTTGTAAGTAGTGATTAGTAGCACAGGTCAATACCTAAGGCCTTTTAAATGCTTTCCTTTCTGAGCATCCCATATGCAGCAAGCAATGCACATACCAAAAAGGAACCCGGCAAAAAGACAAAGGACTATATAAACTATACTTAGCGCGCTAAACAATGATTAAACTATCTATCACAAAGGCCGCTGCTGAGTTTTTGGATATGAAAAAGCATCAACAGTGTATGGTATGGTATCAGTAACAAAGCTCCGATGAACCACATGCGGCTTCGAAGAAAATTCCATGGGTCCTTTCATTGGCTGGTTTGTTTGTCTCCCGCACATCCTTTTTGTGCGGAGCAAAGAAAAAAAGCTCTGCAGTGAAGCCTAAGTTCTTCACAGTCTTTGAAGAACTTTGGTCGAAGCGATCACTTTGCACAGCAAACTGTGGCCAACCAAGCCCAGCAAGACCTCAGCAGTCTTTGATGTTTGTGCGTTGAAAACTCACGGATGGTCAACAAACGAACGAGAATAAATGTGCGCTCATACATGGTTTTGATTGTGCTTTCTGAAGCTCTGTTCTGGTCTTCTTGCAAATAGGAGTCTCACTTCCCTCATGCTCTCCCTTTCTCTCAGTACAAGTCGGCCAATCTATGCAAAGGCTTGCAATCCCGCCCACGTGCACTCTTTTTGCTCAACAAATTTTGGGTCCTTCGAGTCTTCCTGCCTTTGCACTTGGCGCAAAAGCAGGAGGGATAGCTATACATTAGGAAAATAATTTCATATCAACCTGAGAAGGAATATGTTCGATTTAAGCACCTCGTCTACCAGGTCATGTGTGGAACAGCTGATCAGCAAATCTTACTCCTCTTCAGGGACATCAAAGCTTCTACGCGTCCTTCGATGGGACGAATGTAAGCCCAAGTGCTTCTGATGCACGACTCCCTCGCGCGCACTCGCCGCTCCAAGTGTCTAAGTTCGAATTTCCTCCGAAACTTCAGAACCCATGCAGAACCTGCTGCAGAACCTGCTGCTCCCTTGATCATAGCCACTTGTTTAATACATCACCTTGATATACAATGCTTCACAACATTACACAATTCCCTTGCCAGTTATGAAGTTATGCAATGTTATGGATGCATACCCAAAACACACTGGTCAAAAGTGTCGCCTCGAGACAATCTCCTACAAACCAAAGTTTCAAAGCGGACATCATTTGCTGCTACAATTGTCTATGCTGAGTCGTTCCACGCGTCTTTTGCCAACAAACAACTTACTGTAAGTTTGTCATCGCGAGAGACCATGGACACGATGGGGAACTCCCATGGCGCTTCGGGGCAACATGGACCCGCCAGTTGTGAAGGGATGTCCAAAAATAATTCGTGCAAATCAATCAAACATTGACATAGTGCTTCATCTATGGTTAGCTGAAATCTATGTCAAACATAGTAGCTACAATGCTGGCCAGCATCAGATTCCACGGAAAATGCGTTGCTGCTGAATGCTGCTGAGGTGTCTTTGCAGCCCGAGCTTAGCAAACGTCTCCTTTCCAAAGTGCAAAAAAAAACAGATCCTGATGATGATCCTAACTCCGGCAAATTATGAGTACTGTATCAAATTGCTCATGTGCAGATGGTTGGAGTTAAACAAAAAGACTTGACATGAACATGGTGTGTTTGTATCACTCCATAACACTCACCGTCTCAAACCTCTCCCACGGCTCAATGTGAAGAGGGCCGTGACCCTCGCGGTGCTTCACACAGATGCCAGCTGCGACTCCTCAAACTCCTCCTCCGGCCTCGCACCACTCAATGCTCAACACGGCTCAACATAAGACCAAACAACAGGAAGACATGGATGGTGTGGCAAACAAACCTCCAACAACACTTGCCTTGATTGCTTCGCTAAAATTCCTCGCGTCACCAACCAAACACTTGTGCATCTGGCCCAGCCTTTGTATCGATCTCATCACTTGAGCCGAAGGCTTTGGCATGTCCTCACCAAGCGAGGTGCCTCAGCATGCACGCACAAAGTAGTTGATGATTTGTTTGGATGCCAATGTCTCCGTGTAGACATCACAACAGCGCGCTGATGCCCTTCTTCCCTGAAGTTTTATCCGGCAATTCTTTGGATTCCCTTTGTTGCAACTGGTGATTCGGCTTGCAACTGGTGGACGCTTCTACACAAATGATACGTGCTGGCCCCAACTGCACCTGCAAAAGTCAGTAAATCTGCCAGCACGAAGGTGCCGAGACGTTCAAGACCAACATGAACTTTACCCTAAAGGTGTGTCCAACGCTGTCGAAAGGACTCCAAAAGCAAAACCTCGTCAACATGGGCTGTCTTGGTGACATGGTGGTGCAAGTTATGCTTTTTGTTTGCTCATGGACAATTGGCATTTGATGAGTGGTGTGTGCTCCTTAAAACCAATCTATTCTGAAATCGATTGTGCTATCCGAATTGACCAGAGTCTGCCAAGATTGTTGGTGAAGTAAAAACACAACATGTCTGCTCTGTGCATCGCTGCAGGACGCTTTAAAACGGGAAGACATCGACTGTTTACTAGTACAAACAAGGATGCGGATATTTATAAAGGGGGTTCCGATGATGTCACTCCGCCTTACTGATGGCCAGACTCTTCTTTAGCTTAGGACCCGCATGCCACAGGTTTTGTTTCTTTACAGTAGGTCTGAGGCGTCAACTCTGGGTGCCAATTGAGTTCACCGCCTCCCCCACGCCTCAGGATGGGCTTTCAATGATACCGAAAGAACAGATTCACAATTCAATAATATTCAACATGCGTACAGTGTCCAAAACCAATTCTTCTCCACGAGACTCATAACTCATGGTTTTTCAAACACCATCTGCCAAGGTCGGAACCGCTGCTCTTCATCCCAGCGGCCCTCATGAGGAGCAACGCATCCTGATTGGCAAAACCCATGGGCTTAGATTTGTGTAGTACCATGTTGCCTGGCCTTGGGTTGCCCCGGTAGTGAGCTTTACAACAATTTCTTGCAGGTGACACACTACAAGGTAGAATGTGGCGACGTAAACACCAAAGAACTATATATATATATATTTACATCTATCCACGTACCACCAACCTCTTTGGGCTACACTCTTAATGTCAAATGATCTGCTTCGAAAACGTTGCGCTCAGATCGGAGATTTGCCAAGCGTCAACAACCTGGGGATGCACCCCAAGCCTGAGGAGGCTAGGCAATCGCAAAATGTCTTAACACTATACCAAAAATCTATGCAACGCCACGCAGACTTGCCAACTTGCAGTGCTTAAACTGCGGCTCTGCAACCACGAGCCAAACTCCCGTACAACGCCATCCGGTGAAGTCTTCAGATCCTGCAAGCTCATCCCTCAACCAGCCACTACAAAGGTGTTTATTTGGCCTCCAACCTAATAGTGATTGCCTCAAACCTAATATTAGCGATGGCATAATAGTGATGGCGTCCAACCTAATAGTGATGGCCTCCAATCTAAGAGCGATGGCCTCCAACCTAAGAGCGATGGCCGTCAACCTAAGAGCGATGGCCTCCAACCTACTAGCGATGGCCTCCAACCTAGAAGTGATGGCCTCCAACCTACCAGCGACGGCCTCCCTACTAGCGATGGCCTCCAACCTAATAGCGATGGCCTCCAAACTAATAGCAGTTTGTTTTGCCTTTTTTCTGGTGTTCTCGTTTGATTCTTGATTCCAGCTTTCCAGGTTCTCAAAGCTTTGGCAGCAAAGCTGAAGACGGTCCATGGAGTCAGTCCCAAGTTTCCTCAAGTTGCAAGGTAGGCTGCAAGCCATCAGACAAAGGCTACTAAACGTCCCCGCCAGCTACCTCTATTCACACACACAAATACACACATAAGACCACACATGCGACCATCACGCACTTCAATCATCTTGAACCGATGATTGCATTGATTCTTGTATGCCATGCCATGCCTACAATTTCGGTGTTGCGACATGTGAATCCAGTTGAGGCACATAATGTTCTGCCGACGATCGGCAGCTCGCTGCTTCTGCCTTGGAGCAGCGCATCTCCAACCAATCAAAGGCTCACCATCGAACGAGCACCAATCGTATGAGTCTATGAGGTAAAGACTACAAGCCATGGATAGATCTTCCACAACGTATCGTGCCTTGTTGACAGCGTGAGCTAGAAGAAAATACCCTTTTGGAAAGGAAACTTGTCTTTGGGAAGGTTTCTGCTTCTGCTTCCATTTCTATGTCAATGACCAGTGGTACCACAAGGATGCCTTGAAACATGCCGGTCGAGGGATATGTTCACACTTCAATTTAACCCTGTGGGATTTCACGTGAAGTTGCATTGTAGTTGACTCGAAGTTCCTAGGATTTTGCAATCCGACTATATAGCTGAAGCAATTCCCTTACAGAACTTACATAGATGTGGGTAAGTGGGAGAAGCCGATTGATTTTTGAGTAAAGATTGTCCAACAGGCAACCTCGGGGCCGAGAAGCCTTCTAAGACGATCGGCCTTCTTGTACGCAATCTTGCGCCGGACCACGCACCTTGAATCAAAGCTAAATGCATTCCTACGATGGCACACCATGGCACAGCAGAACTAGAAGCACACTAATTCTGCTGTGCGGCTGAATGTGGATGACGCAAGTCATGAACCGTCCAAAGTCCAGGTCGAAGCAGTTTCCCTGAATTTTCGTGGGCTTCAGCAACAACAGGGTTGAATCATCACGCAACGTGCACTCACAGTGTTTGTTGGAGCCTCGCACATGTAGTCCAGAACAAACTTCCGACACTCCTCCGAAGTGGGATCTTGCAATCACTCCAGTTCCATGTATGATCCATCGCCATCTGGTTGGAGGCCATCGCTCTTAAGTTGGAGGCCATCGCTATTAGGTCACAGTGACGCAATGACGAGAGCTTCATGCTTCGACAAAGCTCATTTGACAAAGGACTACAATGTTTACAATCACCGGCCCATCTCATGTAGGCCATGTTGTCCTCGTACTCTCGGCCCTTGTCATCCAGAATAATTGTGCCCAAATACCTTGGTGATGTTCATGTACCATTTCAGCTTCCCTCAACACTAGGGGTGGTGGCAAAGGCATGAATCAGATTCCATGAACCTATGTGGCCCTCTTGGCGGAGCTTGTATGCATTGAGCTCCTTGGGCTTGCCCAGCGGCCAGTGGTAGCACTTCAAGAAGCTCAAGGCTGCATCCTGTTACGATAGCAAAACACGAAACGGTCGGAGGGATCAACAATTGTTAGTGCGCTTGGAATGCCTCAAGCATTTGCAGGTTTAAGATGTTCAGTGACTATATAAATCAATAAGAAACCACAAAACCCAATATTCTCGCAATACATTGTTCATTAGTAACAAGAAGCTACTAGGGGCTCCTGGCCTTACTAAATGGAGCAAGGACGCTACTAGGGGCTCCTGGCATCGCTACTAGGAGCAAGGACGCTACTAGAAGCTATTTGCTCCTAGTAGTAGGGCCAGGAGCCCCTAGTCGCGTCCTTGCTCCCAGTAGTAAGGCCAGGAGCCCCTAGTAGCGATGTTCTTTGCCATGCGTGGATCCTTGGTGACAAAGTGAGCGTAGTTCGATGTCATCAGCTCACGCGTAGAAACGGCCGACTGCTCCAGGCGAGTGGCCTGGAACGCAAGAGCATTCGTGGAATCAATAAGATCTTCAGACTATGCTTTGGATTTAAACAATCGGCATTTACAATGTATCCTTGGCGCATAGAATCAAATACAAACCATATCCAACCATCCTTGGAAATTCAAGTGCAGCTTTTGTTGCAACTGTCACAACCATTTCATGATATTTCATACGCCTAGAAATAAGGCCAACCTGATCCCTTCCCAAGCTCAAGAGAACAAAGTTCGATTCATATTTCCAATTAACAATGAGATATAATGAGATCTATGTTTCGTACCCCAGGCGAGGTCTTTGTAACAGAACAGGTCTTTGTAACAGAACTTCTGGTAAAGTTGGCTCTCTTTGACCTTGCAGTCATCTTCTCACTTATTGGCAACGACTAACAAATCTTGACGGCAAGGTAAGGCCAGTAAGGCCAGGAGCCCCTAGTAGCGTCCTTGCTCCTAGTAGTAAGGCCAGGAGCCCCTAGTAGCGTCCTTGCTCCTAGTAGTAAGGCCAGGAGCCCCTAGTAGCTTCCTCCGTTCAGTACGAGGGGAGGGGGTAGAATGGCGTGATCTCAGAATCATTTGTGCAATCTCATGACCTCTGCTCAGTGCCGCGCTTGTTCGTAAGGGTGATTGAATTTATTGAAATAATTCTTTCGTTCGACAACCCAAACATGTCCATTTGTATCACTTCTGTTTAAGGTAAGAAGAGGTGCTTGAGGCCCAACATATCCAGGAAAGCAGGCTCGTGCTGGTAACAAGGGCATTACTACTAGTAGCTAGAAGCTACTAGTATCAAGTGAATCGCTACTAGTAACAGCCTCCAAAATACTATGCTGCCAGCCTCCAAATGCCGCATGACTGCATGCGTTGAAGGCCAACGATGTTGGAACGCTAGAAGCCGCCGCAACTGAGCACACAGGGCTGGGGATGAAGGGTGTGGTTGGAGATCACCCTACACAGTACAGTAGCAATTAGCAACATCACAACTCAACCCAAAAGCTGTGCTACTCCTTGCAGCCGCGCCACAAACAGAAACATAATGTCCGGGAACAGACTCTTCACTTCATGTCGCCCATCTGTATCCTGGGGCGGCACATCTCCGACCATTGAAAAATAGAAGAAGGGCTGGACTGTCACAGTGAATGCCAAGCTCCATGACATACTGAAACCCCTGTCCTGCTTCACCCGCAAGAAACTTTCAACTATGATGGCAAGCAAAATATTCAGCGAAACCAGAAACAACAAGAAGGTGTACCTTGGCAAAACCAAGCAAAAATGCGGTCGATCTAACGGGCCTGGATTGCAGGTGAGTCAACATTGACGGGACACGGGTCCAAACTCCATGTCCGAGTATGCCTCTTTAAGCTCAAGAATGCAGCAAAGACACAAGACATACCACATTTTTTGCTTCCAGCCCTCTGTCCATTCATCCTGCTTGACCGCTTCACATGAATGAACCCACCCGTTTCAGGACTTCGGCATGTCACATCAACACAATATAATTACCCCAGGTGAAACCACAGAAAGACTCTCGGCTGTCAAGAGACCCCACACCAATAAGAGAATTGCATGGACATCTCGAATACTGAAGACTTACTTGGCTCAAATCAATTGGTACACAGGTTTTCCTACTCAAGAGTCAAACAGGGGCTTCTCCGATTCTCCTCAAATGGATATTCTCCAATCAACATCCTTGGCTGGCCATGCAAAGTCCAACGCGAATGATCCAAGTTTGCATCTTCAAACCTTAAAGCAACTGTCTTTAAATTTCAAACGCAACAAAAGCAAAGCAAACTGTCTGCAGTTCAGGCACTGAAAGCATGTGTTGGCAGAAGTCTGAAAGGTGGAGAACATGATCCTCGAAGTTTCATCAAACTGACACGTAACACCCAAACACAAAATGTGGAAACACAAAACCAGGAAGTGTCTGCCCAATAATTGGCTCATTCAGGAATGTAACTCCAGCACTGTCCCTCGTGTGCATACATGCTCTGAGGTGCTTGTCTGGACCGAAGGACCAATGCGCGAGCCATGCCATGATCGCAAAGACCAACCTCAACGAGTTGTCAATAGTCAGTCGATCTACGCGATGTAACATCAAAAGTTGGACATGTCAACCAATGGCCGTCCCTCAAACAGGTACCTACACTACAGGCGTCCGCTAAGCCTAAACCATGCCGCTAGCTAGAAACCTCAATCCCCCTCTCTCACCACACGATTGAGAAGTTCATGCCTAAGTTTATAAGTCATGTACGCACAACCGACCCCTACTAGCACCGCAACAACAAGCGCTCCAGCTTTCACTTCTTCACTCCCAATCTACTCCGCGCACATCTGTGCACTACTGCACTTGCACTGCAAACTTGCCAGCTCTGAGCATAAAATCCGCAAAGGCTCACCAACATGACAAACTACTTTGAGCACTGCGTGCGAAACCTCCTTCACGATCTTCACGAGCATTTCGTGGGAGACTTCCTTTAACAGTGAGCCTTCTGAGTCTCTCACAACGAACGTTTCGCACGAGCACGCTTGGTCATGAACAGATGTAAGTTCAAGGCACCGCAGGCACCGCAACATTCACTAATGTGAGCTGGCTCAGCCCATAAGGCTCCCGCAAAGTGCAAAGTAAAGCACAATGCAAAACTCCAGACATGCGCAGACTAAAGCCGCTTGATTTCTGGGGCGATCTCTGTGAATCAAAACGACTGATCTATTTCACCAATTGATCCTCAAGCAACGGGGGAGTGGAGAGTAAAGTTTTGGCACGCAGCCTTGTCCTGACATGTCGCCGTCCAAGGACTTACTCACGCAGTAGATAGCGAGACATGAACAAGACTGTGGGGCTTTGAAACCTTTGAATACATGTGAGACAACTCCCACATACGTAATTGTAACAACCGGCCAACCCAAACTGCTCATCCTTGTCTGGCAGAACTGTTGCCCTTATCTTCGTTGGCACCTGCTGGACAAGGGCTTGAAAACGCTGCTTCAAGCGCTTCTGCTCCCCTGAGCATCCTTTGTGAACATGAAACCTGCCTTCAGTTGAGGCATGGTGTGGCAGCCTAGGGCCTAGTGCTTGGCCCTAGCCTTCCCCTTAGGGCCTTAAGGGTGGCCAGCTCTCGAATCAGCGCACAAGCAATAGCTATGTAACCTGAAAGGGACCCAGCCGCGTGTTTTCAGACAGGATCAGACCGCTGTTCAGTCAGCCAACACATCAACATCATGCTTGGAATGAGAGAAGCGAGTTGAGAACCTTTTCATTCTACGTGACACGATGGAGCACATGGCAGTCATGGGAGCATTGCCTTCAGGTAGGTGAGCCACGACCAGCTTTACAACTTCTGAGTCCGCATGGCTTTCACTGGGTGGCTGGATCAATAAGTAGGCTCGGATCACTCTCTTGGGTCAATACAGCCAGGGTAGCTGCTACCATTACACTCTGCGCTCCTCTATGCATTGGTTGTTTCTCCTCGCTCTCTCTCTCTCTCTCTGTCTCTCTCTCTCTCTCTCTCTCTCTCTGTCTCAGCACCTCCAAGCGAACATGTGAGGGTCAAGCGCCAAGGCTTTATCAGTTCCAAATTCCAAATGTCAACGCGCGGTTTGACCTACTTCATCCCACAACATATAGAATACACAGAGATCGGAATGCAAAGCAACCATCGTCCATTTCTTTCTAAACATGTTTTTCCAAGCGGCAAGAAAATCATGAAGAAGTGGAACATGTCTCCACCAGCAGTCTTGACGGTGCGAGCAATCAGGTCGACTCTTGGGTGAACCTCCATGTACTGAATGAGTCCTAAGACTTGACATCACTTCACCAGAAACACCACGACTCCCGGCGTCGTGCCCTCTTCATCCCTCATCAAAAGAGGACGGTTCCCCAAAAAGTAATAAAGTCTCAAACGTTGGACATGCAGCCACACGACGCAGCAGGCACATAAAGACCAGCACATAGGCTGCAACCTTCATGAGCTCCTGAGGCGCAAAGCTGCCAAAAGTTGGCGTTGGGTGGAAGGTTCAGTGTGAGTAGTGTCATGCCCCCAGCGCGGCGCCGCTTGAGACACACCTTGTGACCACACACACACACACACACACTTTTGGTCATGAAATACACACACAGTGCTGCAGCTGACAGGTTCAGCTGTCTTAGCAGCCCCCTCACTTGGGGTAGTCACGCAGGACAAAGCTGTCTGGTATGACTCCAAGTCATGAAAGGTCTAGCGTCGTTTGACTCTAATTATGATGGATGATGCAGGTGGCCAAACCGCAAAACTGACACCAGCATAGACCTGAAAGTGCATTTTGGACAAGAAAGCTCACCAGGCATGCTCTCTGATAGCCGCCAACCGCCAACCAGATCCCGAATCCAAACTATCCCGGCAAGAGACCCCAAACAGTGTGCGTGTGTGAGGTCTAAAAGCAGAAAGTCTATAGAGATCTAGACGCATTGGGGTCCAGAGAGGTGATGGTGGTGATGCAGGTGGTGATGAAGGTGGGGATCGTGGTGACGGCGGCGGTGGTGGTGAGTGAGCGAGTGTGAGTACGAGTGTGAGTGAAAGTGTGAGTGAGAGTGTGGGTGTGAGTGTGAGTCTGAGTCTGAGTGCGAGTGCGAGTGCGTGAGTGTGAGTGTGTGAGTGTGTGAGTGTGTGAGTGTGTGAGTGTGTGAGTGAGTGAGTGAGTGAGTGAGTGAGTGAGTGAGTGAGTGAGTGGGTGAGTGAGTGAGTGAGTGAGTGAGTGAGAGAGAGAGAGTGAGTGAGTGAGTGAGAGAGTGAGTGAGTGAGTGAGTGAGTGAGTGAGTGTGAGTGAGTGTGAGTGAGTGTGAGTGAGTGTGAGTG